AAATGGGATCAGAAGTCCGCATCTTGTACAGCAATTAACCACTAAGAAGAATATATGCAGTGTATTATTTGTTGAAACTGTCCTTCCGATATGATTTGAAACTGTCTCATTGCTATCTGTTTGTCAATAAAACTTTGAAAAAAAAAAGAAAAAAAAAAGAAAAAGAAAAAAGGACAGTGGAATCCTCACCTTGAAACTGGTCTTGGTGTTCCTTAGGTCTCCAACACAAATCTCAGTTACATTGCAATACACACTAATGTGTGATCTGCATTTCAGTTCATCTTGCACAGTCAGCTCCACTTCCTACAGCTTATTTGCTGAAAGACCCGATGTGGCCATCCTCCCCCAGCCTACCATTAGTCATATGTCCCCTGGTCCACCTGAGTCATGTCCTCATGTCTGAGGGTTTGTGCAGTTTATTCAGCTTGACCTTTCTCTCTGGCTGACAGGGAAAGGCAAGAGAGTCCGTATCAGTCTCTGGTACAGACCATGTACCTTTTTGAGGCAGGACATTTTGATGGCCAGTAATGCAAGAAGGGAAAGAACAGGGTCCCAGGGGAAGACATGGCTCTGCCTTAGAATTAAAAGAGCAACAGGAAGGTTTGTCTGATCTCTAGCAGCATGAAGTCATTTCTAAGTCGCATACACTTTTGGATTGTCATGTGATAATATTGGCAGAACCTACAAATGGAAAGAAAGGGAAGGTGTTTTATTTCCATATATATCCAGCAGAGATCCAGGCCTTATAGACCAATTTAGAGAATAGCTTAAATTTTCAGTTATTACCACTGGACTTTCACTGGTCTTTGTTATTTATCCACTGTTAATCTCTAAAACCAAGCAGTTATTTAGCTATCAAGGAGTACTTGTTTGCTGAACGATGGAAACCAATATACTTTTCCAACCTTCTACAGAAAAGAGCCTTCTGTAAGACAAAAGCCTGGTATAGCTCATGTGTGCCAAGGGACGTTTACTGATGAGGCCAGTAGTGATGTGAAAGGGGCTCAGGTAAGTAGGTGACCAAGGGCCTCTGACCATGTAGGATGCAGGGGTAAAGGGGTCCTGGCCAAGTGAGAGGTGAGGACATGAGTTCTGATCCCAACAGCCTTGTCTTCTGTGGGTGTTACATGGTATTTCATGAGATTTTGGATGTCTTAGGTAGGGGCTATTGAGGAAGGAACAGTATTACAACTTTATGGCTGAGGGAGGACATGGTTTGGTAGACTATGATAACTGTAAGGAGACAAAATAGAATGGGCAGCCAGGTGGGTATAAGCCTTGGTTAGTTTTGGTCTTAGAGGAGAAAGGGGAAAGAAATAAATTTTACTTGAGAATTAAGAGTCACTAAGGAGGGGCTAGTGAGATGGCTCAGGGGTCTAAAGAGCCTACTTAGAACAAGCTTAGCAATGCAAAGGGACCACGGTTCAATCCCCCAGCACCACATGCCAGCCAGCTCCCCCCCCTGGTGGGCTGAGCTGGCCACACACACACACACACACACACACACACACACACACACCCAAATAAATAAATAAAATTAAAAAAAAGTCACTAAGGATAACTTCAACCTCCCCTATGTTTATCTCTAAAACTATGTGAGAAAATTGTTCTACTAAGGAAGACCCTTCTCCTCTTCAGTATGATGGAGGCTATGTATTGACCTCAGTGGTGCCTGACTAGTCTGTAGCATCCATGAAATTGTCCCCCTTCCCTGATGCCATCTAACATGTGAAGGGGTCAGATGTTCACCCAGAGTCTCAGGATAAGAGCTGTGCACATTTTCTTCCAATTGTGCTTAACTTCAGCCCTTGAAATAAGGGATGCAATGGAGAAACTAAAGAGCAAATTAAGGGCTTATTAACAGTTTTTCATGAAGATTTTGGAAGTTATTAAGGGGAACAGGAAGGCAGAAGGCAGAAATCAGCAGAACTGTATCTCTTGGCTGGTTAGAATGAAGTTGGTCTCTGTGAAGGAAAGCAAATGAACAATAAGAAACCAGACTTCTTGCTGAGAAGAGACATTTATTTTGTTGCTGGAATCTGGTGTAGAGCAATTCTGGGCTAATCTCCAGAAAAGATGGTTGCTCACAGAGGGGGTTTAGCTTGCTCCCAGTAGTCAGTGGTGTTCCATGGTTTTCTTTATCCAGTCTAGATAAGGTGAGAGCTTGATGAAGACACATGGAGGTGTCGTATAATCTCCAGAGGAAATAATGGCCTGAACCACATTATCACATATGACGGGGCCTCCAGAGTCACCCTGTGAATAGAGAGTGAGCCTGTGAGTCAATTTACCTCCTGTGCTTTTCCACTCTCGTATGCCAAACTCTTAAATTACTATTCACAGTCTACTGGTGAGAGATGAGAAGTAAGGACAGGTCCTTTATGCTTAGCAGCAAAGATCTGACTGTGGACATTATTCCTGCTTAATTCTACTCTCTGGGTCAACCTTCATCCTTGCCACAGGGATGGACATCTGTCAGGAGCCTAATCCCTGTAGAGTTTTGTGGTATCCTTGGTTTCAGGCTAGCGTTTAAGGACATGGAGGCAATTGAGTGGGCCAGGCACTGAGCATGTGATAAAGAGCACATTGAGCAAGACATTGAGGAGGCTCCAAGGAACCAATTTACTATTACTGCATATCCAGGGAATCATTTCTAATGCCTGCTATGGGATTTCAGGAGGGTGTTGAAAACTTCTACTTCTAAAGGGACACAGGCATGTTGGTGAATTGGGTGGAAGCCTCAGTTACCTCTCATATAAGTCTTCTCCCTTTTTCTCATTTCTGGCAGAATTATTGTAGCCTACTAAGTGATGAAGCCCTACTTCTTTTTGCCTCCTGGTCATACATCTGTCCCAAAAATACTTTGTACCCAAATGAAGAATGACACTTGCCTAGTCTTACCTTAGAGGGGAATTTTTGAATCTTTGGGTCCCCAAGACATATCTCAGTTGCAGCATCATAATAGTGAAAGAAGGTGTCACACTCCTCATCCTTTTTCACTGTCATCTCCACCTCTTGTAATGTATCTGTAGGCATGTCATTGACTAAACTTCCCCATCCAGCCAGCTGGCACACAGCACCTGGATTCACTTGAGATTTTGCCTTGGGCAGCTCTATAATCTGCACTTCTTTAGTCAGTTTAGCCTTTTCCTCCAGCTGATGGGAAAGAAGTAAGAGAGTCCAGGTCAGCCTGTGTCTTCTCGGCCTAGATACAGTGATGTACATGATGGCAAAGCAGGAAGGTTCAGTGTTTCAGTGGGAGGAGTAACCATACATGAGGAGAGGAAGAGCCACAACAAGGTGTGCCTTACCTGCAGCAGCATGATATCATTGTTGAACTCTGGAGTACTGAAGTGTGGGTGTGGGATATGTTTTTTCACATTTATGGGCTGCCAACTCTTCTCCTGTTTCTTGATGTTGTGCGCCCCTAGAAGGACCACTGTTTTTCGATGTTTTGACTCAGAAGATCTGCACAGAGAGTATAGTGGATTGAAGAATGTGAAGCCTGAGAGGACCCATCCCAGAAGCTGTAAGGAGCAAGCTTCAACCTGTACATGTCCGAGCTCTAGATGACAGGAAGGCCACCTGCCTAAGTGACTATACCCTCTACTTATTCATAACAGAGGTTAAAATCTTGGATTTAGTACCACAGAAATTCTCAGGAGTCAGTTATCTCCATGAAAATTTTTTAGGTTGCATTGTCATGTCAAGGTGTGGTCCTAGGTCTTAACATATCAGGCTTGCTTGTGCTGGTCTTCGTCTGTCAGCAAAGTCTCAGGTGCCAACTTACTTGACTCCCCTTGTAATATTTCTGACCTTTTCTCATCCTCAAAGGAGTTTCCTTCCTGTGAGTTTCCAGGACCTCAGGGAGATCCTTGGGTGGCTAGTTATCTCAGGAGTTTTTGGCTAGTATTTGTTCCTTACCTGTGGAAACAGTGAGCAGCTGTCAACACAAACTTCTCATCTATCAGGAAGCCACCACATTCTAATGCAAAAGTAGTATACCAGAACTTAATGTAGGCCATGTAGGGATGTGAATGGGGTTTGGCTTCGTGTCCGCCAATGATCTCCCCTGGAAGAAAAAGACAGTAAGCTGCCTCTGAGTCACTGCCTGAGCATCTACTTGGTGGTTCTATTCCTGAAGGGCATTTTGCCAGCTGAGACACTCTGGAGCTTGGAGGAATATGGAGGGAGGAGCCTTAGCTCTTTTTGCACAGGGAGTGAAGTCAGGTCTTCATCTCAATATCTTCTCCATGCAGTTGGAGATGAACATACCTGTCTGTGAACAGTAAATTTCCAGAGGCTTTTCATGATTGCTGTGCTGACTTTTCTTTTTTGAATTTTTCTTTTTACAGAGAAAGAATAATATCAAGCAACAGGAACAAAGACAAAAACAAAGCAACATAAAACTATAAAAATGTATAGAATTTCAAAACAAGAACAGAAAATTGACAATGGTTTTATATTGCATATTATCATGAAATTTGCTGCTCAGATTATCAGATATAGCATTCAAAATTGGTCACACAATTAAACATTAACTCTTCCTTTCAATAAACCTCAATGTTTTTCCTTGTCCTTTTTATTTTTTTAAATTAGTTTGAAGAGAGTATAACAATAATAGATAAGACATTTTCTATAATTAATTTCTTAACCAAAGTATTTCACTTCCAGCATACTATACGTGTTGTCTCATTCTCTTTCCTATGGGCTGACATGTGTTAGGTGCCTCAGAAGTGTGCATTGGCTATGTGAGGAAACAGCCACAGGCAGTCTTTGGATAAAGGTTGGTCAGAGAGTATTGATGGTATTCTGGAAGTTGGGAAGGTTATAGCCTGTCTCTCTGACTCATATGGAAGCAGAGGAGACAGTAAGGCTTAAGGTGGAAAGCAGAGTTGGACAAAGGGAGTAGGAATGAAAAAAGGAAAAAGTAGCGTTCCAAGGACAGTGATTCTGTGCATTCTGGGCTCACTGAGCTCTGGGCATCTGTGCTAAGCAGCTGATGAAGGCAACATATTTATCTATCCAGACACAGAAGACAGGCATATTTTCCCCTCTCCGGAAGTATTTGATGTTTTCTCCTGTAGCTTCTCACCATATACATGAACTTTGAGGAAAGATCCACTTCTGAGATGAAAAAAGTTGTGCTTAGGGAAAGGATAGTGCCTAATGGCATTCGTTGAGAACAGTGGGTGGTAGCCTATCCCTTTTCATACTTGGGGTCTTTTGGTGAGATTGGAGGTCAGGTTCAGTGCAATCCTGGTAAACTGAAGGATTAGTAGTGGGCAGAGGTACAAGGCACCCCTGTCTTCTTTAGAATGGGGTTGGCGCTCTGGGGTATGGAGATGGTAACTTACCTGCCCTTGTCTTCGGGGGCAGAAAGAAGGCCAACAGGAGCAGGAGCAGCTGCATCTTCCCAAGAAGCCTTCCCAAGATCTTCTGAAGCTTCTTTCTTGCTAACTTTTATTCTCAAGCAGAGGATGGGAGAGGAGTTGGCTCATTGACCTTTTTGTTTCCCACTGGTTTTGTGATGCTTGATCAAGTGAGACTTTCTAAGAAACTGCTATACTCCATTGCAACCTCTGATGATATCTACATAGTTGTGTGGGAAACATACAGAGACAACAGCTGATGATTCAGATTAGCTCACCTGTTCTAGCCCACAAGATGAGCACAAGTGTGTAAGGTGGGGACAGGAGGACTTTTTTATTGCCATGCAGAACCTCAGAAACCTGGGTTCTCAGTGACAGAATTTACAATGCCAGAGACCTCAGACCATCAGGATAGATTCTGCTTAGATGAGCATTAGGCCCTTCTCTTGTGCTGGAACAAGCCTGTTGGAGAGAGAGAGATGACCATCTGGTGAAGGAGACAGAATCCCATAACCCAATTTCGAGAATAACGTGGTGGTAGTGATGTAGTGTGCCATAAAAAGCTGCAATGTACTATACCAACATAGTGACTGCTAGATCATCATAGCCTCCTTCCCAGGATGGGGTAGACACTTCTTATTTTATTAAGAACATTCAGTATGATGGAATGCACCCCTCTTTTCAGTGTTTTTCATCAAAGTCTCTGCATGTGACACTTATTGAGCTAAATTAGCAAACTTCTCTAGCTACTCCCAGTACTTTATGTAGGTTGTGTGGATGACTCAAGATCTCATGAACTAATTAGGGCAAGGTGTGGAGTATGGATCGAGGTGTGCCTAAGGAGAGTCACATGGAGAGAAAATATTATCTCAGGCTTTCACAGAGAGCAAACTGGTCAAGCAATGGCTGAGACTCAACCACATGGCTGACATTGACAAAGGATCTACAATCTGCGTTACAGGGTATAGGGATAAATCCTGAGGGGATTTGACTGACCTTATCGGATACAAAAGCTACATTTCTTGTTACATAAGTCTTGCTTTATCTTGGTTTTAACCATTCAGCAGAAAAGTATAAAAAAAGAAGTATAAAAAGTAAAGCCATCTTAATATGCTGAGCTGTAAAAGTCTCAAGTCAACAACTCTTGATGTTGCTAGTCTTATGGAAAATCCACAAATATTATGGACTACTGAACTATTTTGGAATATTTTGCTGAATTCACACACTTATAATATTTAAATGACAAAACTAAACAAAAATGTGTACAAATGAAAGACCATTTTGCATCTGTATATTCAAAATAGGATAGATATTCAGCTACATTCTCTTAGTTCAATGAATAGAAAGATTTGTTCTAATAGTGTTTGTAAATAGGATATCATGTCTGCATCTTGTATAATGAATAACCACTAAGACAACAATATGCAATGCATTAATTATTGAAACTGTCCTGCTAGTCATATTTGAAACTGTCTCATTGCTATTTGTTTCTCAATAAAATAATGGAAAAAAATAAAAAGAATATTCAACACTAAAAAAATAAAATAAAACAAGTATTCCATGTCATCCAATTGCTTCATACCAAACGTGTGGTATCTAGCATAAGAAGTGTCCGGCATGAAGATCACTGTGCACTGTGAAATTAAAACTGTAACATTAACCATTATGGTTTGTGAGTTAGAGGATGTGTTCCGTTTTTCTGGTACTACGTGAGCTTCTCTGAATCTAGTGGTATTTTATATATCTAATGTATGTTGTATGACTTCCATAATATTGTTTGCACTAAACCTTCTACCCCATGAGGTAAACCATGAAGTATGACTACTGTGGATGTATTTTTCCCCATGTGAAAGAGGACATTTTTTTTCAAATTCAGCACTTGATTTACTGTGACAATGTGCAGGAAAATTTTACGTGTAAGTAGCATGCATGCTATTACCCTTAAAGAATTTTCTTTATGTGGATTTGCTAGACAGAGTCAAGTTAGTCTCTGATTAACCTGGGGGAAAAGACAAGTCTTTAGATCAACCTCATGTGGCTACCAGTGTGTGGAGGCATGGATTATGCCCACCGTCCTCACTTTTGAATTTCAAGAATCTGCCAGCTAGTGGATACTGTATACAGGTTCTCTGAGTAATAGCAAATAAATGTTTTCAGTCCTGATGTGAATACTTGAGCTACTCAAAGTTCTTAGAGCTCTGTTGCTGTTCAAGGAGAACTGAAGATGTTGATTGAGTGAGTGGCCGCTTCTGTGAAGCTGAGCTCATGAGAGTTCTTGGGCTACATGTGAGGGATTCACTTTCATAGCTGTGAGATGGAGCTGAGAGCTCTGAGGAAAGGTCCTGCCTGCTTAATCTTTAAGACTGTGTTCTGGAACCAGCCAAAAATTGCTTCTTAGAATATTTTCAGGCAAAGTACAAATCAGAGAGAAGATATAGATGCAAAATATCCCTGGTAGTTCCTTGGAATATTCATGTTTTCATAAAGATTGGCACAGGAAACACTTTGTGAAGATGAGACTGGAGTCAGTGACTCAAGTGAAGATCATTTTGAGGGGCAAGAGAGAGGCTGGGGGATCTTGTAAGCAGGTATGTGGGACCCATAGCCTGAAGGCTGCTAATGGTTCAGACAGCAGCCACACAAGGTCATAGACTGATAACACTGTCTTATGTTTTTTTTCCATAATTTTATTGATAAACAAATAGCAATGAGTCAGTTTCAAACCAAATTGATAGGGCAGTTTCAATAATTAACACATTGCATACATTCCTCCCAGTGGTTAATTGCTGTACAAGTTGCAGACATGATATCCTATCTACAAACACCATTAGAACAAATCACTCTGTTCATTAAGAGAATGCAACTATATATCTATCCTAACCATTTTGAATACACAGATACAGAATGGACATTCATCAGTATACCTTTTTTTTTAAGTTCCATTATTTGAATATTATAGGTGTGTTAACAAAGCAAAATAATCTAAAAGAGTTCAGTAGTCCATAAAAGTATTGGGTCTTCCGCTACACTGGCAATGTTAGAAATCATTGACTTAAGTCCCCTACAGCTCAACATAACAGCGTGGCTTTACTTCTTATATTTTGTTTTATACTACTCTGTTGGATGGTTAAAACCAAGGTAAAGCAGGACCTATGCAACCAGAGTTGTAGCTTTTGGGTCTGATAAGGTCAGTGAAATCCCCTCAGGATTTATCCTGAGATCCAGTACCTCAGATTGTTTGTCAGTGTCAGTCATGTGGATGAGTCACGGCCATTGCTTGGCCAATGTGCTCTCTGTGAAAGCCTGAGAGAATGTTTTCTCTCCATGTGACTCTCCTTAG